TCTATCATTATATTATTACGAAGTGAAAGATAAATTTTAGATACAACTGGAATAACAATAATAGGGTGGATGGATCTGTCAAAGCATCAGTAGACTTCTCTTCAAGTGGAGAAAGGAAAAACTGGAGTTSCAAGYTCKTCTCCCTCTYGTTGRATAGACTTGTTAGATGTTATTTAGACTAAAGCACACTAAGACAGGATAAATGATATTCTTTCTATGATGTAGAAAGGGTAAYGACAMAATAGCTTCTTGGTGTTAGGCGTTTCTTCMTGAAAACAAGCGCTGTTGTCAYMAAATATGGAGCAAACACAAAGTCAACCAAATGTACGAATATCTTCACTGAAAAAGCTTCAAAAATGTCCCAGCCACTTAAATACAGCATTAAGCGTAAATACAGACGCAATATCACCAATTCTTAGTTCTTCAAACTCCAAAAGCCACGAACAGATTTTCAATGGTAGTTTGTAAACACGAGAAGAAAGATGCTTGGTATTTTCGCCATTTTGTCTTGGGAGTCGATTCACCAGTGATAGCTCGGATTTAGCCTGATAAATCTCGATAAAATAAAGGCTCCAATGATGGTTGCAATAGTAATCGTAAAGAAAAAGGTGTAGAATGTCTGTTCGTCGGCAAAAATATTCATATTTTTGGGAAGAAGTTCAGCTTCTGGGGTTAGCTAGCACTCGTTCACAAGCTTCGACGGCCTTTTTGTCAAATGATTAGCATATTTCGATTCGAATCAAGTCCCTCACGGTCCTATATGATGACAAAAATTTAGGGAACCCGCAACTTCCTGGTTCAATCGGTTCAATAAGCCTTTTCATAGTTTAAGAATCGATTCCACTGCGCATGCGATTTTATCCTGAATTTCTCACCTTCTTTTGTTTAATTAAGAACAAAAGAAGGTTTAGACAAAAGAAGGTGAGAAATTCGGGATAAAATCGCATGCGCAGTGGAATCGATTCTTAAACTATGAAAAGGCTTATRTACGATATACCTACCGTATATACTGATCGCCACTCTTGTGTATTCATGTTTATTTCCTCGTCAAATTTCCTATTGATAGATACCTCGGCCATCGACATAGCGTAAAAGAAATGAAATTTATGAATTGACTGAAATTTTCCCTAGTAAATCATAAGTGTCCTTTTGAGTGTTGTGACCTTCGCAAACCTCCCCTACCTCGTACTATACCCCTTCACACACTTCACAGGGACGCTGCTATTTGCAGAGAATTTTCTAAATCAGACTATCTA